CTATCATTTCTCACAAAAAAGGAAAATCCCTTACAACATGCAAAAATAAAGTTCAAAGGCGATAAAGCGATGCGACCACAAAAGCCACATGGAGAGTCCGTGCCGTTCTGTGTTTGTCTTTGTTCGCATGGCAAAAATTCATCGTTTGTTGGCGCAAAACTATCCACAGAAGCTTCAGATTATTTCTGGGACAATTCATCGTCTGACAACGACGCAGTTCGTTGTCAGACAGTTCCCGACTGACAACGAAGCAGTTCTCAAAAAAGTAATATGACTGTGTGATTCTCTTGTGCAGTGAACAAAGAGAGTTGTGACAAAGCAAAGCATAAGTTTGTTGAGCCTTTGACGTCATAATGACGTTTTTGCAGGCTCAGCTGGAACATGTTTTCAGCAATGGCGGGTGATTTTTGGACGACTTTGAAGCAGTAAAAATTGGTCATTGAAGGTTTGTTTTGAGTTTTTAATGGCAAAAAGAGTCTTAGCTTGACCCAATTCAACATTGTGTAAACAATTTAGGCCAAAAAAAAATGGTAAATGTTCGTCTCAGGGACACTTTAAAACGCATAGGTTTTTTTTTTTTAATGGATACACAAACCACTTAAACATTTTTTCTACAGCATTCAACGGATACAATGTTTTTTCAAATGGATAAGCAAACTGTTTAAATGCTTGCACAATCCATTTGAACCAATTTAAATGGATAGCAAACGGTTTCCCAGTTGGTATCTGTTTTCCCAAAGAGGGTTTCATGTATAGTGTGAAGTTGCAACATTAGCATAAAAAAAAAGTCAAGTACATGTGACATTGCTCTTAGGGTCTCTTTCTATTTTTTTTCTTCTTTTCTTTCTTTTCTGTTCTTTTTCTTGAATACAAGGTGAACATGTTAAAAGAAGTTGAGGTGAAGCTCTCAACAGATAGGTGCAAATGTAATCCACAATTTTAATTATTTCAAAATACCTTGATAATAGATGAGAGAGCATCATTCTTTGCTTCATTCTTTGCCTCTTTTTTAAGCTCATCATCAGTTAAGTTCTCAAGAAATGTAGGAACAAAATCCTGCAGAAATTTGGGAAACTTGCTTTAAACATACTGTAAAATGGAGGGTTGTGATGCATATGATCCCCATCTTTAAGTAGGGCCTGAGGATTACAAAACTACCCAACCCTACAATGAAGACTTTAGCAAGTTTTAATGAATAACGAAGTAAAGCTGAATTATTTTTCCTTTTATAATGTAACTTCCCTCACAATAAATCTCCACATGTTGAGCATGGGATTTGAATCTTGAGCAAGCAGTTCAACATTTTTTTTTTCATTTTTAGTTCACTACACCTAGAGAAACACTGCTTTTTCAAAAAAGTAAATAACTTACTATAACAGGTAAAAAGTATTTTTCTACAGTGCTAGTTGTGAGAACCTCTGCACAGGATCCAAATGGTCTGAAATAAAAACAAACTGCTTTTAATAGTTGAGTATTGCCTCTTCAATTTTTCCACTTATTCTACCCTCTATCAGAATACACAGGATGGGGAAAAGAAAATCCCAAAAGAATAACACCACATGACTGTATTAAGTAATGATAAGGGTGCAAAGACATGACACCAGACCCTTCTTTAAATTAAGCAGTGTATCCTGAACTTTGTAAGACACCAATTTACCTTCTTATACACCTAGAGAAACACTGCTTTTTCAAAAAAGGAAATAACTTACTATAACAGGTAAAAAGTATTTTTCTACAGTGCTAGTTGTGAGAACCTCTGAATAAGAACATTCTACTGACAACAATCATTCACTTGACTCTGATGATGACTTCCGCACAGGTTGTCCAAACGTCAGTCACTACCACCGACAACAGTCCTTCTTAGGACTACACTCACCCGGACGATCACACTACACCTTCACAATTTATCTTCTGTACATAAAGGAGTATACAGTACTTTGACTGATGCTTATACTAGATGTATGACATACAACCACACTGTATATCAAACAATGCCTTGGTCACTCAATCAGAGAGGACAGAGCACCTCAGGATTTGCACAAAAGCATGTTCTGTAATAAACAACTTGCCACTACTGTACTTTTCAGTGCTAACAAAAACAACCAACATGAATGTGGAATCATGGCCATCACTGACATGGACCTCTAAACATCTGGCTTTGTACATATACATACATATAATAGGATTAGAAATTGAGACTAAAGCCATCACCGACATTCATGCAGATTCCCATTTACCTGGATTTGCATGTTTTCAATGTAAGATATAGAGAAACTGACAGCATCACAAACCTAAGGAGAGCTGCTAAGAGTGGGACACTAAGATTACTGCCATCACATATTCTTTCCTGTAAAGTGCTAAAGCCTCCCAGTAAACCAAACTTGTTGACCAGGTCCACAAGCCACCCCTACAGAGAAAAATTTTATATGTATGAAAATATAGGGACAAAATTAGAGTGTTTCAAGTTGTGACTGCTTTAGACATCACAGCAACTACAAAAAATTGGGGACATGTAAAGAGCAGTCATGGCATACTGCTACATATACAGATAGCTCTAAACACAAAATGAATGGCATGGTCAGCTACTTCAAATGTCCTATAATACTGCAGGAAATGTCTTTTTTAGGCAACCAAGTTTTATTCTGGTGACAATTTTGTGATTTTAGGTTGCTAAATGGCTAAAAGGTTGAGCATAGAGTTGTATATAAAAACTTTTATTCCACTTCACACATCATAACACAGCAATTAAAGATTGTAACCAAAACTTTCACAATCAACTGTCTTGTTGAAAACCTTTAGATGCTAAACTTAAATTGACCCCTGTTAAACCCACTTGGACTGGACAAGTAGAGTCCCAAGAATTCTCTAATTCTCTCCATAACTGTGAAATGATGAACCTTTCCATCCAAATGCATATCAAACTCCTAACTCATACCAGATAAAATCCCTCACAAAGCATGCCTTCCAAGATCTGTACAGGGAGCCGTTTCAATCAAACCAACTAAGTTTCACAATTGAAATAAATGTACCTTTGGTGACCTGGCATCAGGAGGTCTAGCATAAATTGAATTTTCAGCCACCTAGATAGATGATATAAAATAATGTAGAGCAATTTACTCTTTGTGTAACATACTTAAACAAAATGATAATTTCCATAAGAATAAAATTATCATTATTCGATACCATCATCAAATGTCAAAGACGAAACAAGGCAAACTTCAGAAGTAAACCAAACTGCTCGGAATCAAATGTACATGTATAGTCACCCAATAATACATTATAACTTTTGAAACCCATCAGAAAGTGGCAAACAACAACCAGGTGACTGGAGGAACCAAGGATAATGTTGTTGTTCAGCATGTTGCATACAATGTTGCATACATGTACACCTGTATGGCTGAATTTCTGCATAATAATAGAGAAAAAGCAATTGAGTGTTGTGGGCACTCAGGAATGCAAACCAGGAAATTCCATGTTCAAGTAAGTAACATGTATATATACAAGATATATGTTGTAGTTCAATTTTATCCTTGGTTCCAATTTTATTTTCCTTTGTTTCAAACTCATTATCATACATTAACATGACCGAGAACAAAGGAAAATAAAATTTGAACCAGGTATAAAATTGAACTACAACATATACACACTGTACATGTAGCCAAAAAGTTTGCCCTCCTGCCAGTTCAAAATTTTACTCTTGCTAGGAAAGCCTTCCTTTGAGTCAATAACACCTTTTGCTTTTTGTTAGTTACTGACACATTTTGTAGTTTTAAGTGATCATAAAGAATCCTTATACATTAATTCAATAAGAGCAAGTAAAAAGAGGTAATGATGATGATGATGATAAAAATTATTAAAATAAATACAATTAAAGACAGTAGATAAGTACAATTTTCCACCAACTGACCTGAGCTCCCTGTGGTACTGTCTCGGAAGGCCTGGCACCATTGTAGATATTAAATCTGACAGGTAAAATCCAAGTAGACACAGTTTTACTTCAAAACTAGTTTCAATTAAGATACAAAGTATAAATACACATCGACAAAAACACTTTTTACAAGAATAATACATTGGAAACAGAGTACGTGTGATTGAAACATACAACTACCAAGCATATTTAAAACAAATCTCATTTAATGCATAACGTTGTGCATGTAAATGTAGAAGATAAATGTCTCCCACAATGATTTAAATAGTTTTGGGTAAATCGAAAATCACCTCTGAAAAATGATAAAATAATATCAAAAAAACATAAATTATATATTTTTGCTTAAAGTAAAAAAACACTGACTCTTTCTGTAAATTTTAAAGATCATGGGACCAATGATGGTGATGGAGAAAAAAGGTTAATGAAAAGTTTAAAAGGGAAAATTGCAAAAATGAATCAATAATTGCTACTGAGACCAAACAGTTGCACATACCTGGACATAGGATTAAATACTAAAGATAGAAGATCAAGAAGAGGAAACCAATCTTGGCTTAGTTTTGTTACACACAACTCTACAAGCTTCTCTGTATTCTTTAAGATAGCTTTCTGAAAGGATAAATAAAGAAATAGAAAACAAAAAATTATTACAAAATTTTCATCTCTTCACCAGCTATCATAATTATTTTCAGTCTACAGCACAGACTTTGGAGTTTGTTAAGGTGCACCACTAACTCAAAGCCAGGGTTAAAATCATGGATACAGCAGGGCTGTGGTCTAGCAGCACCCGGTGGCCCCTGGCGCCTTACATTTATTCTTGGGCAACCCAGAAATCTTAAGTTAGTTTTTTCATAAAAAGCATATATATGCTGGGCACCCTGGATTTAACAGTTTCTGAGCACTGGGCTCTCTTCAATTTCTCTTAGAGCACAGCCTTGATGCAGTTTTGTGCAAAAGTTATGCAAATACTTGTTGACAAAATTTGACAGAATTCCAAGAAGAAATTTGCACGACTTTTTGGCAAATTCTCAAGGCAGCTTTTGTGTGGATTCATCTGAAATTTAGCACTGGGGATGTTTGTGAGTCTCAAAATTTTGAGAGATTTCATTCCCCCCAAAAATTTGTGGGAAACTTTCCAGAGAAAATTTGCAATTCATTATTCACAAAAACTCTGTGTTTGTGAAGGTTGTATATCAAGCTATAAACTGTTCAGTAAATATAGATGACAACCACTATTGACCCACATTGGTCTCTGATAATTTAGAAAAATAAACAAGCCTTGCAACTCTTGAAAGATGAAGGAAAGTAGCAGTCATCTACAGGTACATGTAACCTACCTTTAGCTGAAAACCAATCTAATTGTTGGATTCACACAATAAAGACAAAAAAAGACAACTTGGACTCACATGAATGTCATACTTCCATCCATTTACTGCTTCATCATTAAGAATTTTATGAAATGATGTGGTCAAGCCATCTCTAAAGAACCTCTGGCAATCCTCACTCTTGGTGTCTAGCTCTGTTAATATTGGGAAACATCGTCAAGTGTAAGCTAAAAGAAGATACTGTATACCACCATGTTACATTCACAGCTATCACTCAGATATTGACAAGCTTCTTGTTCATCAAAGTACTAAATGAAAACCATGTTTGTCATTGACAACCGTTGAATTTATTGAGAAATACTCTCTTTGTTTCTTGCTATTCTGTTGTAAAGGTATCGTTGATATCAGTAATGCCTAACAGCTATAGCATCATGCTGTTCACCTTATTTTACCAAATCTAACAAACAAATATACCAGTTCACTGTAAATGTAATGCAAATTAAAACTGGTGAACTCATCAAATTTCATTTGTCTCTCAACATACATACATGTAAATTATACAATGATTTAACAATATATAATATGTAGGGATGCCTTGCTGGTTTTGTACAAAACAGACCATAAGAAAAAATATCAGCATGAATTAAATATCATGATTTAGATGTTAAACCATCAAATATGGGATATATCAATCAATATTTTCATTTTCTAGAGCTATGGCATCTAGAATTGAAAATACATTCTGTGGTATATATCTGAGGCCACTGAGAGGCTAACAACAGGTTACCAATTACACCAAACTTAACTATAAATATTCCTGGTAAGGAATGCATCAATGTTTTATGCTCCTATTTTGTTTTACACAAACTACAAAGGGGAAACCGAGACAGCCTACAAAACTTTTAATCTCTTTCTATAAAAAAGCATACAAATCAACGTGTACCTGCTCTGCAAAGTTTGATGGATGCCTCCAAGAGAACTTCCAGTTCACCATTGGGAAGAACAGGTACCACCCAACGTGGCCTGTTAATCATCTCATCCAATTTGGACAATTCAGTAAGAGGAAATGCCACTTCTCCATTAGGCAACAATAGACTAGAACTATCATCATTCTGTATAACTGAGTTCTCATTGTCCTGCTGTTGACCAGAGTCATTTGACTGGCCACCTTGTTGTGCAGGTGTAGTACTGTTTGGGGGGGCAGAGTCCCCACTTGTCCCTCCACGCACAGAAACAGTCATTTTGCAATAATATAATATCAAGTGTCACGTAACAACCATTTATGTGTGCAAACATTAATGTAGTTTGTGAAAAAATAATGCTCCTCTCACTCTTCTACACGGTTTAAAAAAATTTGTTCACTTTACCCAGAATTCAAGTAGCAGTTGCTAATCTGAAAGATGCAAGAGATATAGCATTCTTAATTTATTGAATAAGTGGTGACTAATAATACCTGTTCTCTGTAATGAAAAAAGTTCAACTATCACAAATGTGTGGTTTATAATGAGTTTCAATATTTTATCCTATATTTAACAACTATTCGCCTAAGGTGACGTGAACACCATCGAATAATCCCCAAGGCGAAGTTGAGGAGATTATTCAACAATATTCTCTAAACCTGAGCCCAATAATTGTTTTAGTATAATTTCAGAGCTGAACAACAGAGAAATTTCTAAAAACATAACATTTTAGTAACATTTATTAACATTTTATTTTAACATTTTACATAAACAGCGTGGAGCAGTTTATATAGCGTCATATAAGGAACTGCTTGACCAATCAGACTGCTGGAAACTCTTTGCTCAGCTCTGAAATTATACTAAATAAATATATATACATATATATGCAAATACCAAATGCTGCAAACTATTTAACAGATCCAATTGTCAAGAGGAGACACATGGCAATAACAGGTCCAGAATGTTTCCAAATGACAAGAGTGAATGTGAATGATAGACAATATGCAATGGCTAAACTTTCCAAATTTCTCTTTCTCAAGCGAAAGATCAAAATGGAAGTTAGACCACAGACAAACATAATCATCGACGAATGGTGTTTCCACAAAGCTCATTGTTTGTAATCAAGTAAACGATAAACTGGCCGGGAAGGTTTCAGACACTTAAAATCTAAGACTCCAAATAATCAAGTTTCCACATCAACGTAATGCTAAGTTTCGTCTTCATTGGTTCTTGAGTATACGCCATGTCTAAATGCACGTATATAAATGACACAAAATTAAAACAAAAACACGAAGGCAGTCAGTAGGTCATCTACCACCGAGAAACATCACCGTACATTGCATAAGAGACTAAAATTATTTGTTACATTTCGGACTGGAAAAATCAAACTGTGAACATGAAATTAATTGAAATATTCCCTACTGTCGATGTTTCGATTTTCTAACTTTCTTTTTTTTCCTCAAAACTGACAGGAAATGCAAGTGCAAGCAGGGTTCAAAGTGGTTTCGACATCATGACAAAATTGTCCATACGTTATGGTCTAAGCCTTACCTTATTGAGCTGAAAGAGTATCACATAACAGCCAATTCATAAACCAACCCAAAACACAGGCTAGGAGGGCTGAATTCAATTTTGTAGACCTGGTATTTTGAACAAAATCACTGTTTTGCATGTGGAGCAGAATACTCCTTGACGGATCACACATGCGTAGTTACTTCCTGTGGTCACGTGCTTTGGTGACTCATTCCCAGGGATCCCTAAAACTTTACAAGGAAGCCACTGATCGTATACATACTTCATGTCAACATTTCATGAAGTTTCTCGACTTAAAGTCTCTCCTTTAACAAAAACATATCATTTGCCCTCGATATTCAAACTGTTGTGCATTCAAAACTAGTCAGCTTCCCTGAATACTGATCACAATGCCTATTTCTCCAATTATGCCCTTGTCAATCACTGCCGAATAAAATCTTCCTTCACTTAATTTAACAAGCTTAATTTACCATTCAGGTTACAGTATCAATGCGCATGAGCATAACATATCGACATTTCTACCCTTCAATAAAAGAATGCAGGAAGTTTGTCACCATGGCCCGAGTCCCCATAGCTCAATGGAAAAACTTTCGAAAAACTGATCGGGAAGGTCGTACGTTCAAATCCCTGTTGAGTTTCTTTTCCTCCGAGCATGGCTGTGATATTTACTAAGAAATATGTTCGTTTACTTCAATCGGCACCAGGCTTAAAATTTCTCATATTCACCATCATCATCCCTGTGCACAAGCATCGCATATCGACCGCATTCCTATCCTCGCAGTATGTAGGAAGTTTATTACCAGGGATCTAGAGACACGGCCCGGCCTGGTCACGAGCCCTACAGCTCAGTGGTAGAGCCGTCTGAAGTGCCAGTCGATCGGATAAAATTAACAATGCAAAATTGAAACAAAAGTAACTTTGCTTTACAAGGTAATTTGGTAATATCAACTAAGTTAAAATTGTAAATTGGCCACTGTAAAGAGTTACAAAGCTGACGTTTCGAGCGTTAGCTCTTCGTCATTCGTTCTGACGAAGGGCTAACGCTCGAAACGTCAGTTTTTTAACTCTTTACGGTGGCCAATTTACAATTTCAACTTAGTTGATAATACCAAATTACCTTGTTACCCCCACCGACGCAGCACCACAGTTTCTTTAGAAACTTGCCCCCTTTATAATTTTGCTTTACCGCGAGTTGTGTTAATGTGACCAACATAATTCATCAGACTGTAACATTATTTTGCTAGGCAGTGTGGCATATTACAGTCGCAGCCAAACTCAGTTTCACAAATTTCTCAAAAAGATT